ACCAGATATGTCAATGTATAATGAAGTCAACTACAAAGCAAAAAGAGGGAATAATAGTGTAGATACAGAACTTCCAAACAGCAAGGAAGTCAAGTAGATTTCAATATAAAACAGATTGTTTTAAGCAGGGAAAAAAATAATAAATTATAGGGTAACCACAAAGAAAAATAATACACCTGCACATCAAAAGAAAAAAAAAAGATAAGAAAATCAGAATGATTTAGTAAATAGTAACACAACAGAAATGAAAGTAAAAAGAAAAATGAAAAAATGAATTCAGGATATGAAATTATGTGGAACAAAGAATCCAGCAGCACCACAACAAAACACACAGAAAAATGACATCAATTCACAGCTATCGATAATTACACTGAATGTAAATGGATTAAATATACCAGTCAAGAGACATAAAGAACAGAAAGGATAAGAAAACAGGATTCTTCAATATGCTGTCTACAAGAGGCACATCAAAAAGATGGGGACAGCCTAAACACCTATCATCAGAAGAATAAAGAAATGTTGTTATATGCACACAATGGAACACTACAAAATGCTGAAGAATAATGATGAATCTGTGAAACACTTCACAACATGGTTGAACCTGGAGGACATTAAGTTGAGTGAAATTAGTCAATCACAAAAGGACAAACATTGTATGAGACCACTGTTGTAAAAACTTTTAAAAAAAGGTTTTCTTGATAAAAGAAACACTGTATGATAGTTATGGGGAGAGAGAGAGGAAGGAAAATCATTCATGGACTAGAGGGTAGACCAGGGTGATGGAGCAGGCAATATACAAGAAGAAGGTTCGCAAAGGAAAGATGAAAGTAGTGGGAGACACAAGGAAGAATGCAAGAGTTAAAGTGAAATGTTGTTAACTGTTGGTACACGGAGGGGATTGCAAACATGTAGTGAAACAAAGTGTATGGCTTACTGAATGTAAAACTGATGATCTGCTCTGTAAACCTTCACTCAGTTTACAATAAAAAGTGTTTTTTGTTTTTTTTAAATTTTTTAAATGAAATCCTTTCTAAAATAATATTCAAAAAACAAATCACAAAGGAAAAGATCAATTTGTCTACAACCAAACTTAAAGCTGTACATTATAAGGTATGAAACTAATTCAGGGAAACATTCCTATAAACACCCTTTTCACTAGTAATACGTCATTTTCTATGAGTACATACCATGGCAAGCATACACATTGAATTGTTACAGCAGTTACCTCTAAGGAGAGTAAGAAGTAGTCACCGGTGACTTTAGTCTTTTCTGTTATGTGTTTAGATTTTTATTTTAAAATTATGTCTATATTGAGATGGCACATTTTATTACATATATCTTTACCATGCACACAAAAAAATCATGTCCCTTGTACTATTAAAACTTGGTACAAAAATCTTAAACAAACAAACAAACAAAACTATAGGAAACACATGCCTTAGAAGATCCTCTATTTGTAGTGAGTTGCTTCATCCAAGATCCATCAGGAGGTTATGAGTTCGTTGGTAGTTTGAGACATAATATAGCATGAATTCTCATCTCTGGTCAAAATAGCTTACTTGGTTCCTGAATACGCTCTCTTCCCATTGGTCTCTGAATTCACTGACTTTTCTTCTCTATTGTTTCCAAGAAGCTCCTCCTAACTGCTCTCTCCCTCTCCCCACTGGCCTCTTATGGCACTGACAGTATCTGTCACTGGGCACTTGGGACAGACTCCTGAGGTTCCTACTTATCTTCCAAAGAGAGGCTTTCTTTCCCCAACCAGCCAGCATCATCTTAGTGTTCTTGGTGACTAGCACAGAGATGGATGATGGCATGGAGAACTGGTTTGGAGTCAGAAAGACCTGCTGTATAAAACCAGACAACTTAGCCTCTCTGGGCCTGCTTTCAGCTGTGCTATTGTGAATATCAGAGTCCTGGTGTGGCACTGTGGGTTAAATTGCACAGATGGTTTGAACTGCAAGGTTGGTGGTTCAAGCTCACCAGTCGTTCCTTGGAAACCCTCTAGAGGGTCGCTATGGGTCGGAACTGACTCTGACAGCACTTAACTACAACAACAACATTGTGAATATCAGTGAAACAGATGATGGCTATAAAGAGACTAAGACAGGAAGAGGCTGGTTCATGGTTTAATTATCTTAATACACCCTCACATTTAGAGTTAAAAACAGAAAACATTAATAGTACAGCAAGGTAACCAGGAAGTAATTATTAGTTCCATTTTACAGATGAAATAAATGAGGCAAGGAGCTCTATAGGAAGGACAGATATGTGAACTTTAGGTGGTGGTGGTGTGTCGTGGAGTTGGTTTCGACTCATAGCCACCCTGCATAGGGTTTGAGGCAGTAAATCTTTCCAGGAGCAGAAAGCCTCATCTTTCTCCCACAGAATGGCTGATAGTTTCAATCTGCTGACCATGAGGTTAGCAGCCCGACTCGTAACCACTATGCTAGTAGGAAAGAAAAAGGACCAAAGGTTGAGAGACCTGGGTAGAAATGCCAATTCTTCTACTACCCAGCTGTGAGAACTTAGACAAGTCTTTTGTGACTCTGGACATCAGCCTCCTCATGGTAAGAGTTTCTAGTTATCTTGATCTTAAAGTGTCCCTCAGCCCTGACACTCTAGCTTCTTGTGAATGACCCAGGGTCCTTCCCAGCAGGACAAGTCCTAATTCAGAGTACCTAGTCACTCCCAGGAAACTTACCCAGGCAAAACTGGAAGGTGTGACTAGAAAATTCAGTTGTACTTTGCTTCAGCTTGAGCAAGGGGGTGGTGGTGGTGGGGGGGGGCAGACATATCCAGAACGCTGGGGGAAATGCCAACATCAAACTAAATGTAAATATCAACATGAAGGGAAAACCAAACCGGAAACCTCAGGAAAGTCCACTCCAAAGATCAGAGTCTAACTTTTTGGGCAGAGAAATGCTGAAATGTTTCGTCTGGGTGCCACAAAACCTGTAGCAAAAATGAATCCTTGCATGTACCTAAGGCGAAGGGATTGGGTTTGGTTTGGTTCTATCTGAACTGGGAGCAAAGCTAAGCTCTAACCAGAGACTGCTGCGACGTCCAGATCCATTCTAAGGGTCCCCTCCCCCTGACACACACAACTGCTTACACAAACAGAAAGCAGGGCCAGATGCGCAAGCATAAATAGGCATTTCTGTCCATGGGGAAGGATTCATTGTGCAGCCCCTTCCTCTAGCCCCTGCTCTGATTTAAGATTCTATTTAAGACCTGGAGAGGGAGGGTACCAGGAGAGCCCTAAGGGCACCAAAAGCACTGAACTCTTTCAGGTAGTGAGATGCAAGGCTATGAAGATAAACCTCAGGAGGTGGCTGTGAGGTAGTCATTCTCCCTAGGAGCCTTCCAATAAAACAGAATCTGAATTCATGTGCAGTTGGATTCCAGGTTGCTGGTTCTGCCCACAAAAGGAAGTCAAAGGCCATATATTCCTATTATGTGCAAAGCACTAGGCTAGGTTCTGGACAGAAATAAAAACAAAAGAAGCCCAATCACTGTCTGAAGAAGTCCATCGATTAATCCGATGATAATTACTCCTTTTATCAAGATGGATGCATGCAATTTCATCCAGTCAACTCAGAGCACCCAAAAGGAAGGCTTGGTAATCTATTTCCAAAAAAATCAGCCATGGAAAACCCTACGGAGCACAGTTCTACTAGGTCATACATGGGTTCACCATACATTAGCATCAGCTTGCCATCAACAACTTGCTTTACACTTCCCCGTGAAACACCACAGTCCTGTAAGGTAAACGTTATTATCTCCAGTTTGTTGTTGTTGGTAAATGTCATCAAGTCACTTTTGACTCATAGCAACCCTGTATAGGGTTTCCAAAGAACAGCTGGTAAACCTGAACCACCAACCTTGTGGTTGAAACTGACCTTGAGAAACCAATCTTGAGGTCGAGTGCTTATCCTATGGCACCACACCAAAAAAAAAAAAAGGACTCAAACAGATTAGGCCACATTCCCAAGCTTACATGGCTGGTATAAACCTAAGCCGCAGAGTCAGAATTTGAACACAGGTCTTCCACCACAAAGTTGACGCTCTTTCCACAGCCCAGCTGTCCTTCCCAAGTCACACAAACAACCTGGGAGATGAAGTTTCAGCTAGTCAGGAAAACGAAGGAGAGACTTCTGAAGACATTGGCCCATGTGTTATCAACAGTCTTACTGATAATAAGTTAGTGCCCAATACACTAATGGTGAAGGATAGAAGGCAAGAGCTAAGGTTCAAAAGACCATCCCAAACTCAGGGCATCCTTGGAAATAGAGCTGCAAAACCTCTCCACTGGCCCAAAGCCACAGGGTGTCTGCCCTAAAATATTCCCTGCGGAGAAGCTGCAGCAGGTCAGGAGTAGAGGAATGAACAACTCCACCGAGCAGGAGAATGGGGTGGGGCACTCTGCAAGGGCGAAGAAAGGGCCTGGGACGCTTTGCTCGGAAAGACAAAGAGGAAAGGGGAGGAGAGAGAAGACTATAAACTTGCCAAAAGCCTGGCCAAGGTGAACCCCAGCTCCTGGCGCCTTCCCATTCGCATTCATTCCATAAACACAGCCAGAGCTCAGAGACGGGGGGGAGGGGGGCTCCCTGCAGCCTAGGGTAAGTAAATTCAGTATTAAGCGGGGAAGAGCAGCTTCTCAGCAGGCGAGTGACTTGAGGGGCAAACTTGGGGGCTTCAAAGATGGAAGCAAAGACCGAGCAGTAAGTCGCGGAACAAAAACACACGCAAGGAGGCTAGTCAGCAAGCACATTTGGGGTAAGTACCCCAACCTTTTAAAACTGCTATCGATGTTTCCTCGAGGCTTCCCACAGCCTCTCGGGCCCTCCCCCAGCCTCGACGTAGGACACAAATGTCTGTGATGCACTCAGGGGAGCAGGTTTCCGGGGCACAGGTGAAGGGCTATCGCAGCTTCGGTCACGCCTGTGAAGGTCAAGGCCAGGCCTTGCATGGACCCCCCCGCCCCCCTGTCCCCTCACCTCCTCCCGCGCTAGCGCCGCCGCCCGGCACCGGGGCATCTTAGCGGCGAAGGCGGCGGCCCCGGCTGGAGAGCTGAGGTCCTCAGTGGTGACTGCCAGGAACTCGGCGACGCTGAGCTGCTCGGGCATGGCGGTCGCGGGGCGAAGGCGCAGGGGCTGCCGAACCGGGGCGCGAGGGGCGCTACGCTGCTCCACGCTGAGCCAGCTTCACCGCCCTCCGCGGGCGCAGTACCGGCCTCCGCACGCCCCGCCTCTCCAATCCGCCCCGCCCCCTACTGCCTTCGGCTTGCACAGCAGCAGCCCCTCGAGTCTAGGGAGCCCCCGAACTTCCCTGCCTGGCCTGCTCCTACGCCCAGCCCACGACCTTCCTGCTTCTCTCCCCACTTTTGACTGGATAGTCCCACCCCAGCTTCAAGCCGAGCTCCTAGACCCCGCCTCCTGTGTGCCCCGCCCCTTGTAGCCCCGCCCCTAGTCTCTCTCCCAACTCCCCGGCCCTGCTCCCGGGGCCAGGACGCCTCCATGCCTCCATCAAAGCTTCTCTGCGGCTCCGCCTCCTTTCTGCGTACTTCTAGCCTCTCAAGTTCCTCTCGGTCACAAAGCCCCTAATTTGTTGTTGTTGTTAAGTGCCGTTGAGTCGGTTCCGACCCATAACGACCCTATATAGGGTTTCCGAGGAGTGACTGGTGAGCTTGAACCGCCGCCGACCTTACAGTTCAAACGGCTTTGCAGTCTGGCGTGTTAACCCACACCGCCACACCAGGACTACTTAAGACCCTCTTCGGCATCCTTTCCCACGTCCTTCCCTAGCCCACCCTTGCTTCCTCCTTCCTACAAACTTGTTCCCGGTGAGCCACGCCCCTCTGGCTCGCACACTTTCTCCGCCCCCGTCTCTCCCATAGTCCCTCCTAGTCTCCTGGTTTCGCACCCCGCTTTTTTCCACACGCCCAGTTCTCAGCACAGGCTCTGCGCCAGGCCGGGGTCGTCCACCTGTCTCTGTATTCTGTCACTAGCACGTGCCTGAGACTGTATGGCGCCACTCTGTACACAAACCGTATGACTTTGAGAAAGTTACTTTTATTCTAACAACCTCAGTGTCCACATCCCTAAAATGGAAGCCTGCACCCTACTTTGTTTTGAGGTTGCCAGAAAAGTTGTTAGGTACAGACGAATGGAATTTTGGCTCAGCGACCCAGTAGAACTGAGACCAAGTAGAACTTCTCCGTAATGATCTAGTTTGTTATCATTTTAGGGGGAACACGGTAGCTCTGTAGGCTAAGCACTGGACTGAGTACCAGAAGGTCAGTGGGTCGAGTTCACCAGCTACCTAACAGGAAGAAGATGAGGCTTTCTGCTCACACAAAGATTTATAGCCTTGTCTTAGAAACCTTGTGCAGAGTCGCTATGAGTCTGAACCCACTAATAGCACTCAACAACAATCTTTATTGGAACAGACCAACAGATCTTTTCTCCCACAGTTACTTTGTTGTTGTTTTAGTGCCGTTGAGTCGGCAGAGTCACTGGGTAGGGTCAAACCATCAAACTTCCGGTTTGCAGCTTAGAGTTTAATCCTCCTACCACCAACGCTCCTTATGGAAAAGAACTTGTTGTTGGTCTTGTTAGGTGCTGTTGAGTTGGTTCCAACTCACAGCAACCTTATCTACAACACAACAAACACTGCCCAGTGTTGCTGCTATCCTGGCTGTTTCATTCCATTGTTGCAGCCACTGAGTCAAACCATCTCACTGAAGGTCTTCCTCTTTTTCACTAACTCTCTACCAAAAGAGCTCTGGTAGCGAAGTGGTTATGAATCAGGCTGCTAACCTCAAGGTCAGCAGTTCAAAACTACTAACTCTTACGTGGGAGAAAGATGAGGGTTTCGGCTCCCGTAAAGATTTATAGCCTTAGGAAACCCTGTACAGGATCACTATGAGTTGGAACCGAGTACATGGCATATAACCACCACCATCTACTTTACCAAGCATGATGTCTTTTTTCAGGAACTGGTTCCTCCTGATAACATATCCAAAGTATGTGAATTCTCACCCTACAGGCAGAGATGTGTATTAGATTCACAGTCAACACAGCCACATCTGTGTTGTTGTTGTTAAGTGCCGCTTAGTTGGTTCCAAACTCATAGCACCTGTATAGGGTTACCAAGGGGCAGCTGGTGAGGCAAATAATCCAATTTTTAAACGGACAGAGGACATGAACAGACACGTCACCAAAGAAGACATTCAGGCAGCTAACAAACATAATAAATGCTTGGGGTCATTAGCCACTGCTGCTGCTGTGGTTTAGGTGTATCAGGTTGGTTTCAGCTCATAGCATCCCTGTATAGGGCTTCTGAGGAGGGGTTCGTAGGTTTGAACTACTAACCCTTTGGTTCCGACTCATAGTGACCCTGTATAGGGTTAACTATGGTGCTGTAGGATAAGCTCTGGATTGCTAAGCACAAAGTTGGCGATTCAAACCTACAAGCTGTTCCTCAGAAACCCTACACAGGGTCACTATGAGTCAAAGCTGACTCAGTGGCACTTAACAACAACAATGTTTTTATATGAAACCATGTGTTCAACATAGGTTTTTCAACATTTTTGGTTAGCAGTCCAGTGCTTATCCTAAGTGCCACACCAGGACTTCAGGACTTCATTGTTGTTAAGTGCCATTAAGCCAATACCGACCCATAGCAACCCTGTATAGGGTTTCTGAGGAGCGACTAGTGAGTTTGAACCACCAACTTTGTGGTTGAAACCAACCTTGCAATCGAGTGCTTATCCTATAGCGCCACACCAGGACTCCTTAGGGCTCCATTATTGTTGTTGTTAAGTGCCGTCCGTCAAGTCGGTTCTGACCCATAGCGACCCTGTATAGGGTTTCCGAGGAGCAACTGGTTAGCTTGAACCGCCAACCTTGCGATTCAAACCGACTTTGCAGTCCAGCACATTAACCCACAGCGCCACACCAAAACTCCCAGGACTCCATTGTTGTTGTTGTTAGGTGCCATCGAGTCAGTACCAACTCATAGTGACCTTATGCACAGCAGAACGAAACACTGCCTGATCCTGGGCCAACTTCACTACTGTTGTCATGCTTGAGTCCATTGATGCTGCCACTTGGCCAATCCATCTCGTTGGGGATCTTCCTTTTTTTCTTTGACCCTCCACCTTACAAAACATGATATCCTTCTCCAGTGACTGATCCCTCCTGACAATATATCCAAAGTATGAGAGAAAAAGTTTGGCCATCTTGGCCTTTAACGAGAACTAGATACAAATCAAAACACCAGTGAGATATCATCTCAACCCAGCATTAACAAAGTTAAGAAAAATGGAAATTAAAAAATGCTGGTGAGAGTGTGGAGAAGCTAGCGCCCTCATACACTGTTGGTGGAACTGTAAGATGGTGTAAGCACTGTGGAAAACAAATATGCAGTTTCCTAAAAAAAAAAAAAAAAGAAAAATTGGAAATAAAAATACTGTATGACCCAACATCTCTCTAATTGGTATAGATCCTAAAGAAATAACAGGCATAACAGGATGTATGCACACCCATGTTCATTGCAGCAAGGGCAAAAAGATGGAGACAACGTAAATGTGTATCAGTGAAAGAATGGTTAAAAAACCTTTGGTACTTAAACAGAATAGAATACTACAAAAATGTGAAGACTATTAATGAATCTTCAAAACACCTCATAACATGGATGAACCAGGAAGATATATTAGTCAGTCACAAAAGGACAAATACTATATGAGACCACTGCTGTGAAAAGTCAATAAAAGCTTTTAACAATAAAATAAACATTCTTTAATGTTACCAGGGATGAGAGGAAAGGGAAAGGACTTCGCTGGTTAGCGAGTAGACATGTGGTAATTTGGATGATGGTGTGATAGTTACGGTTTGTGTCAACTTATCAGGACAAGGATTCCCAATGGTTTGGCAGGTGATAGTTAACTCTATAATGATTGACTGTGAGCAGGCGTAGTTAACTCTATCATCACTGGTGATGAGCAGTCAATCGATTAAAAGTATGTTTCCTTGTAGGGTGTAACCTGCTCCCAATATAATGCACATGCAGGCAAAGCTTGCTCTCTTATTTCCACTGGGGACATGGGGCTCTACAATTGTGAGTCATTTCCTTGATACAAATTTGTTTATATATATATATAATATATATACATATGTGAGGAGCTCTGGTAGTGTAGTGGTAACAAGTTGGGCTGCTAACCTCAAGGTCAGCAGCTCAAAACCACCAGCCATTGGGTGGGAGAAAGATGAGGCTTTCTGCCTCTGTAAAGATTTACAGCCTCAGAAACCCTATGCAGGGTCACTGTGAATCGGAACCGACTCCACTGCACACCACCACCACTATATATATCATTGGTTTTGCTTCTCTAAAAAACCCAGTCTAAGACAAGTGATACTGACATAGTGGGATCTAGAGAAGCAAAATCACAAGGATGAGTTTTCTAAATTGGTCCTCCAGTTCTGACTCACTTTAAAGGCACTGATAACTGCCTCCACTAGCAAAGAAGTTTATAATGGAGTGGCATGTGTGACCTCCACTTCATAGAAATTGGCCTTGGGATGATTTTGAGTTTGGTTTTCTTTCCCCTTTGTGAAGTGAGAGGAAGTCAGACATGATCCCCAGATGCTCTTTTTAAAGTTGGCATCAGGAGTCAGCCATTGCAATGGCTCCAAACTTATGGAAGCATGAAAGTTTTGTACGAGAAAGAACCAAGAGGAATGGGAAATGAAACTTTTGATTTCTAGATATGATTTTGGTTTTTGGTAACTGTAATGGCTGAAAGGAATGTAAGAGATAAAATGCTTCAGCTGAGGGGAGAAAAACAGTTTCTGGAGTTGTCTGAAGCAGATGTTAAACTAGAAGGCTGGTAGGGGATCAAGGCCTACTTAGATCCATCCTGCCAGAGGCCCTAGACCTTATGATTATGAATGTGGTTAGTCCAAGGGTAAAGAAAAGATTGAACTTGAGTGTTTTTAAAAGGTTTATGTGTTTGACTGCCATGTGGATACTGGTTTCTCCTGTCTATTATTGTAAAATAGACATACAAGTGTGATGGAAATGAAATTGGGAATTATGATTACAGAGAGCTTATAAGCCTGCCTTCAGCCTATACTTGATTGGATTTTCTAAAAGGGGAGTTAGAATTTGCCCAGAACCTTCAGACAGTTGCATTTGAAAACACATGCAGACCAACCCAGAACTGCTGGTAAAGCAGGAGATTCATGCAGAAAA